GGCATTGTATCCTGCAGACTTTCTCTTTTCCTATGAGAGTCAACCTTTCCTGAGAAAACAGGTTATGCAAACTGGAAATGCATTGAATAAGCAACACAAAGAAATAAGCAGGAAAAGGATCAAAATGCAGTTTGAGTAGTCAATGAGAATACAGCTTGACAAACAGCAATATCAAGGAACTATAAATGCAAGCATATTTTAGCAGTGTCCATATCAAACGCAAATGGCAGTGTTCATACAGTCTCAAGAGCTAGATGTGGCAATGAGTCCCAAACAGGGTGTTGGCTGGTAGGTGAGAGGTCAGAGTCCTTGATTTGAGCCATTATGTTTATTGAGTGACTGGAAATATGCTGCTTTGTTGACTTAGCAATGTCTGTGAGGACTCGCAGGGAGCAATTCCTTGCATGGAACCTAGGTGATCGAGGAGCCTGTGAAATTGGGAGGATGGCACAAGTCCGGGGCAGGGGAGCGCCATGATTCAGGGCCTCTGGTGCTTGTGATGACCCTTTGAGATGACACTCTGACTGCTGTGCAGGACTGGCACCTCTGCCTGGATGTTGGATTCAGTCTGGGTCCATCTGGCATCTTAGGCTCAGGTCTCCATCACTGGTCTGGTCTGGATATGTTGATTCAAGAAAGGGGCTTACCTTCCCCATTTTGATCAATGCATGCAGAAGGAAAAAGCAAAGACAGAGCTAAAGACAGTGGGCTAAAGAATGAGGCACATGCATGAGAACTGGTGAAGGAGAATGTAAGAGAAGCATGAAAAGGTTTGCAATTAATGCTTAAGTAAGGAAAATTTATTGATTAGTAGCTGTGATTAGTAGCTGTATTGAGAGACAAATGATTAGTAGCTGCATTAAGAGATAAATTCAAATGGTTAGTCTTAAACAATTCAAAATGGTTAATCATAAACAATTCAAATTGGTTAATCATAAACAAAGAGGCAGCCAGGCATTGCCTTTCTTTTGGCAAATTCTGGCAAATGAGGGAAAATTCCCCTTTTTTGTTTTGTTTTGCAAGAATTATTATTATTATTATTATTATTATTATTATTATTATTATTTGCAATTCTGCAGACGCAGATGAACAAAAGGTAGGGCCATTGTCCGTTTTTAAAGAAAGATGGTTTAAAGAGCAGTTTCAACATAAAAATACTTGAAACAACAAGAACAACATAAAAACAAC